GCATTTCCGATGGAGGCGGAAATGTTGTAGGCCCGTGTGCTCAGATTTGGGTGCACGTTAAAGAACCCCAGGTGGTCTAAATTTCCGGAGCCCTCCACTACGGCGTCTCTCATAATCATATAGTGGTTTTGGGACGTTAAACCCCACATATCAATCAAATCAACCCACTGGTGCATGTTGGTGGAATCGCAGTATCGCACTACAAAGCGTGGGGCTTCCCAGGAAAATTTAACACCACCAAAAGAAACACATGTGACGCCATTGTTAGATATGACTGTATGAGAATCTACGGGGTTCGTAGTGCAACAATGCAACTTTGCCAGACTGTTCCAGCATGCGAGCAACGACTTTTTGTACTTTCGAGAGCCTTCAGGCACGAGCACGGAGAACATGTCTATAGACAAGCCACGGCGCATGCCAACGTCTGACACTATAGAGGAGTTCCGCACCTACCCTATGCAGGTTTACATGTCATGTGTGACTCTTCAAACGCACCATCGTCTGCGGACCCGACATGCACAGCACCCGTTCTCTTCGCTACAAGCGGACCAACCAGGTTGTACCTACTTATGATGCTTCGATAAGCATAGACATATGATCCCTTCAGACTGTGCACCTGCTGTAATCTCCGGAGTGCCTCTATGGACATTGAATGAACCATTGGTGGGCCTTCGCATACGGGAATTCTGAATAGGTCGCATGTTCCATATGTTGCCCTCAAGAAACTCACATTGGCACATTTGGTTGACCAATACAGAGACTCTGCAAATCTACATTGATGGATCTGTAACTTCGTCCTCATAAGCTGCGGCCTTCGTGATACTACTCTATAATTAACGACAGTGCAAATTAGATGACAGGTCATCTTCGACATATGTGGAACGTGTTGCTATACAGGAAGCTCTACAATTTGTGAACGACCAAGCACCGTGTAAGTGAAGGATTCTGACCGTTGCAAAATCAGCCCTTCAAGCTTTCAATTCTTGCTCAAGAAGCGGCCAATATTACATTACGCATTAGCGTTAACAATCGTCCCAAATATGTGACCTGACACAGTGAAGTAGTCACTTGATTACACTCGAACGGGTTCCTGAACACTGTGGCTTGGTTGGGAACGAACTAGCCGATAGCGAGGCAAGAACGGCAGTATACAATGCCTCCATGGACGTCAAGGTACCATATTCATGAAGTTATGTCAACACGTTCTTGAGATCGCTCATGCTAGTTTGCGCTGCCACTTAATCGTGCCAACCAGATCATTGCAACAAGCGTCAGCGGGAAACAGACCCCGATATGACTTTTCGCCTTCCGCCTAAAATGAAAGGCATGCTTGCATGCTGCACCGAATTCGACCGGCGTTGCCTTCACTCGACACAACACCTGTTTAACCAGACGTGCAGACAACCCGAATTGTGAGCGCTGGCGAATGCACGAAACTTCAACCTGTTTGTTTTGTGACTGCCTGTAATACGTGCCTCAAGGAAGGTGCTAAGTTCAACGTTGGCAAGCATCGGATGAACACCACTTGGTGAAAGCTACATTTTGCAAGCGATGTGCGACCAAACTATAAGAAACTGCTACAAGGACTCTTTTAGACTTTATTAAAAGCACTAAAATAGATACTAAGCTGTGGTGTGCTATGCCAAGTGGCTACTGTACATACGCACCACCTCTTCTTGTCCCCATCATCTTGCCTTCATCCCTCCTTCTTTCGCATTACCGTGTTACCCTGTGTAGAGCAGCAGGCTAGACAGCACTAAGTCGCGCCAACCTCTCTGCCTTCTAATAAATTCTCACTCTCTCTCTATTCAAATAGGTGTCCGCTGTATAGAACCGAGAGTGCTTTTTGGTAACTAGCTTCTTTCACGAAATATAATTTTTTTTACTATATCCAATTCAGAGACAGAAGGCCGCTGCTGTGGCCAACGAGAGATAGCACTACATGCAGATATCTTCCAAATACTGGTGATGCAGTGCCCTATTTGTACGCCAACTTCTCCATATACCAAGTCAATAAATAGAGAGAAAATGGTTCCGAAGATCAATTGTTCTTAGGTGAATGCGTCTGTATTTTTGTGACTTTTACTTTACCGAACCTTTCTCATTAAATTACCGCCGTAGAACACCATCTGCATCAAAGAATCGTTGAGGTACTTCTCGGTAAATTTCATGGAAATGTGGTGCGAGGAACGACCTCAACTTTTTCACAGTAAGCGAAATGTCCGTGTTCTTATTTTGTAAACATTCAATTGTATTTTAAATTACTATTTGAATTGAATAACACATGCGGAAATTGTGTTACCCATTGCTTACAGAAGAAAAGTGTATACGTAACTTCGCACCAGCATGTTCAGAAACAGCAAGTTTGCTATGTGTTTGACATGCTTTTTCTAGTATAATCTTGCATTAGTTGTTAATATCCTGTTTGTGTCATGAGTACATTTAAAAATACGGCGGCGTTCTAGCAGGTAAAACCAGCGATGTATCATGGAAGCTCTCAAGTGGATGGTGTTGACATGATGACCAGTACCAGTGCAAGTTGCTTTGTGCGAGTCGTGGTGGTACCACTGTCGTTTTAATTAGTAAAAAACTGTGGCAAGCTTTTAAGGTCTGTCATTAGTGTTACAGTATGAGTGTGACCATTCCTTAACACAACATGCCTGTATTTCTGTCGCGCCCAAAATCTGGCATAATTTCAGGAGCACGAACACCACCCACAAACAGCGCTCGCAACAAACAGGTATGATTGATTGGAACTGAGGCAAAGCTAGCAATAAGAAGTTGCAAGGAAAAAGAAGATAACTGTATTTCGGTTTTATTAGACCTGCAGATTGATTGTAAAGCAAACAGAATTATTCCCGAAGAGTATTAAGTTCTTTCGAGTTTCAGTATTCCCTAGTATGGTACTGTGTGCCATACTAGTGAGTTTTAATGTGGAAGCGTGTGAGTATGTAATTCGTTACAACTCAGACACAGCAAGAAACAAACAGAGTAGTAGGACCAACAAACAAAGCTTCAAGTTAATCGAATCATGTTATACGAAATGACGAAGTAGATGTGCTCTGTACTGCCATGTGCAGTACGTGAATGGTCAGGAACAAAAATTCTGATATTGGATACTATCCCACGCATGCACACCTCTTGAGCCTATAGACTTGAGCTCCTTTCACCCTGCCCTAACATGCTTACATGGGAGGCATGGTTGTAAACTTAGACGAAATAACTTGCTCGTGTCAAATTGTCCTTCTCTATATACTCACCAACGGAAAAAAGGTCAGTAAATCATAACCATGGAGCTCGCTCCCGGGCGTATTGACTTTTGAAAATCTAATTTTTTTCCCTATGTGACGTAGATATGAGTGGAAAACTTTAACTACCGGCACATTGCTGAGCTGGGCGCATACCTAGGAGCTAACGGAGAGACCGTGTACCGACAGCTTTTTCAGCCTGCTGGATTTACCAGAGTTGCTTGTCCAGGTTCTAACAGAGCAGCGGTGTTCGCCTACGCACCCGATGACGTTGATGGGAAGGTAGCCGGATAATATTTACTACACGTTAATAATGCTTACGCAATGTGTGCCTCTCATAAATGATTACATAAAGTTTTGTCGATGTGCGCCAGGGCTATCGACTCGGTAGACTCAAAGCCCTGAATATATATGCAGAAGGATTCGAAAATTGCTGCTCCCTTCGCAGAACAGATTGCTACACTTTGTGGCAGTCGCAACGGTAGGCTGGTATGATTTAAAAGTAGGGCGTACTTGGACAATAATAGACAAGCATCTTCAATTAGTAAGGACTTGTTCCTCGGCTGAGTAGTGGCTAATAACTCAGTGCGTCGACAGAAAGTCTGCTCGCGGCTTGGGTCGTGAGCTCTATCTAGTCTTGAACTTCTATCAAGCTATGGTGTTGTCAGGCGTCTTAGTGTCAACGAACTAGACAAATAATAAAGGAAGACCAAAGCTTGAAGCGCTAACAAAGCGTTCAACAAAGAATGCTGCTCACGTCAAAGTTTCTACAAGTGCACTTGTCTTCTTCGAGGAAAAGTGAGCGGAAACAAGCCTACCTGTCGATCCCTTCATTCCAGCGACATTTTCTGTCCGACATTTTGTAAGTACTGTCCCCGAATCATTTTAAGCCCCTTTCAGCTTCTTGGGCTAGAGCTTTTTCACAGGTAACTCCAATGTCCTTTCCAGCAGGATGTCAGTTCCAAAGCCTCTCATGGATCTATCATCTTGACAGCGTGGCTCAAGCGATACTACGCAAAATATGCATTGTGTGTTCAAGGGGCGTGTGGCACAAATTTCCTTCCTGACTAACGCCTTTCCAATGACACTTGTAGCCACAAGTTGTCCTAAAATCACAAAGAATTGAGCTAGCTGATAGGTATTCGTTTTGAAAGATAAATCGTGCAAAGAGGGCACAAAAAAGTAGGTCAAGACGTCGCAAAGGCAGCGTTTGTGGTGTCCTGCACTCGTTTCTTTTGTCTGTGTTTGCACACCCGGTCTTTTAGAATGATCACGATTTGTCATCTTACGGTGGTCGTGATGCCTTATTTCGCGAAGCCGACACTGTATAATGCGGGTTGTTAGCCAGATGGCTTTGATACTCTCATTGACCGTTTCATTCACTTTTTTTTTCATTTACGCTTTGCTCGACACAATCTCAGTCTACTACAAGATGACGCATCAGCCGTTTGACGGACATTTTTAACCCTGAATCAAGAATAGAGAGCATAGAGTGTGAGGTCGTGCATGCTCTGGCTAGCCAACCAACGGCGCGAATGCAATCGCAGCTCAGCACAGCTAAAGTCCTACGTTCGAACGCATCGCAGGCTTAAGTACTTGAACTCTGATTCAGTCATTTTCTCTTTGTTTTTTTTTCGTGCAGACCCTCCAGAGGTGCAGCTGGAGACGTGCAGTGCAGCAACAGGATGGGCGTGTCTCCACTGTCAGGTTGCTGCAAATCCGCCTCCGATGCGGCTCACCTGGACTCGAGACGGAGAGGCGATGCGAGACGTGCCTCCACTGTCGGCCGTGCTTCGATGGCGCCAGAGGCAAGGACGACTGGAAGCACTACGAGTGCACAGCAGAGAATCCTCTTGGCGCTAGCTCCAGTAGACCGGTGGGGCTCATACTGCTTGAGAAACAAGGTAGGCTTGAAAAATTTGCAGGCTGCACCATTTCCGCCTTTCGGGTTTCATGTAATCACATGAGCAATTTGTTGGCGTTAATGTGGGTATAAAATACGTCAAAATTTCTTGGTTGGGCTCATGTGCGAAAAATGTGTATCTGTGGCAAATTTAGGGTGCATAGGCGTTCGTTCGGAAGTATGAAACACATTTTGCCTCTGTGCATTTTCTTTGTACATCAGGCAACGAAACAAGCATACTAAAAGTACAAAAGACAAGTGTTGTAGAGTTTATGACTTGTGTAGGTGTTTTTGTTATTTGCTGTTTAATTTGTCCTTGAGACGCTTTTAATGCTAATGCTGCTTAATAATTCTACTGAACAATGTGGCAAATGAGGAAGGCTTGATGATTGCGAGTTCGCCATGTTCGTAACTCTGAAACGTTTCTAGAGAGATATAAAGAAAGGAAAATGGGGAAGACATGCGCGCAATACATACAAAAAGGAAGTACAAAGGCAAGAGAACCAAGTTTGTGCATTGCCTCCGGATGAGAAGCAGTAAGGAGGACAAGTCTGATAATTACAAGCTCAACATTCCGGGCTAAAGAGCAGCCGGCTATCTTAATTGCACGCTCTGCCACTTCACTAATAAAAGCTGCAACGCTGTCATATCGGAGGGTTCACAACGCTGAAGCGTTTAGATGTCAATCAGCTGCTCTTCACTTGTCTCAGCGTGTTTGTGCTTGTTATTATATCGTCGTATACAAACCCCGAGGACGACGATGTAACCTATCGTATCTGTAAATGGAACGTTACTCCCTCAAATAACTTGCATGCTGAACGAATCTGTGGCGCTCAATCGAGGTTCCTTGTTTGGCTTTCCTTGCCCACGTGGCTGTCACGCCACGTTTAAGAATAATTAGTTTATTTTGAATAAAACGACAAATTGTGAAATTAAAAAAATGAGGTCTTCTCCAAACGCTTTCCTGCATATTTTGGCACACGAAGAAAATACTGCGCAATTCAATAGGAATTCATACATTGCGAATATCTAGAAACACAAATAGAATGCACATGAAAGTATCCATTAAATTGCACTTTGTCGTGATATCATTACAACACTGTTGGCCCGATGATAAAAAGAAAAATTGTGGTACCACCAGCACTCTAAGATAGTACCCGTTTAGCCACTGGCGACTAGATAACATAAGCTCTACGGTAAGGCCACTATCACGCACGCAGGTAAGGCAACCATGTCAACAGCCCTGGCGGCAGCTCTGCTTCTCTTGCTCGCTCTTCTGCTGTTTCTCGTGGCTTTCTTCTGCATCCTGGCGTGGAACAGACGACGCCTATGGCTGCGAGGACTGCGTGGACGAGCCAGAGGGCCACAACGCGCGGGAAGTGCTGCGCGCGGCCTCGTACAGTGGGGCGTCTGCGTCCTGCGAACACGCTGAGGCACACAAGCCGGCATAGAGTGGACATCTACAGCTTTGCAAAGTCGAGACGATATTTTTCACTCAATCCGAGATCAAAAGCATATTTAACCTTGCGATTTTTTTCGACCAATTAGTCGGTGCAATACGAAAATATGAAACCTTCTAGAACCATCGCAGTTTGGAACGAATGCCATGCCCTATTTGTAGGAGTAGAGAGAGGGCTTGTCTGTTTCTTCTGATAGATGTAGTTTTCCTAAAATAAGTGTGGCCAAGTGGTGCACTATAAAAGCAGGCCAGTAGACTTCTGAGGCGCCCCTTGGTCTTAGTACTATATGCACATTATTTAAACAAATCGATGACGGTGAAGACTGCACGCTAAGTTTTCAATTTTACGTATATAAATCAATCACAGATGACGTTATTAACTCTAGCAGGCGTATTGGCGTAGTTGTGGCAATTTAATGACACGGCTGATAAATGCTCTATCTTGAAAAGAAAACATTCTCCCTTTCCTAATGCCAATAAGCACGCAGCATTATTTTCTATATAAGGTCAACGTTTGTGTTTTTTTAATTCTTTTGAATAAATGTTAGCCCATGCTTTCTCGTTAGTCTTTTTTCTCACTTTCCGAACTCTTCCCTGTAGGAGTTACTCAGTTTTTCGCCTTCGAACTTTTTTTTTTTGGACCTTCAACACACATTGGTGTAAGAACTGTCGCTATATTCTATTGACTCGCCCTATTCGTACGGTTTTCATTAGCCCTACACAGCGAAAAATACTGAATGCATTTCTTATTGCGGCACCATTTTAATTAAACAGCCTTATAAATCTCGTTTCGCAGGAGTTCCAGCGTCGGCGTCGTTGATTGTGAGCAATAAATGATCATCTTTGCGTGAACTAAAAATCTGTAAATACGCAAATAAAATATATAATGAAACATTTCGGGCTTGTGTGGGGTTTGAAGCCGAGTCGTTTGCGTGGCAAGCGGGTGTTCTAACCCACAGTCAACACTCTGCTTGTGCCTACAGTGAAGAAAACTACCTCTGCTTTGGGAATGCAGTAAAAGTATATTTCATGCTTTATCGAACACATGCGTCCTGCTTACATGTTACCCAACAGGACATGAAATATTGCCGCAATATTGCATGGTACAAGCGCACATTGCCAGCGGGCATCACAAGTTGGGAATATCATAACGACTTCATTCTTCAAAGTCTGTTACCCACTACAAAAAGCACACATGCTACTGCAACCTTAAGGCCACGTATAGGAGGTGCATATCAAATGCAAAAATTTTTCGCACACCAAGTGTTTGAAGTACGCACCTAGGAACAGAATATTGCTATCGCGTCAAACTCTTGATGAAGAAGCTTTAGGATTCCTTATTATTTGGGGTACTGATCGGCAATGACGAGCCCGTACTCAGCGTGAAGTTGCTGGTTTGATAGCAGGTTGCAATGCTAGCTTTTGAATGATTGTGGCATGCAAAAGCAACCCCGCGCAGCTGTTTGCTTCTAACGTAAAACACGCCTACTGGTGGGAGCTACCATACCAGCACTATTCCTGGTTGCCATGTGACTCCATGTGCTCAATCTCAAAAGGTAATTGTTCAGCTATTCAATGCGTTACAAAAAAAAAAAAAACTACGTTGCCGCTCCATCACAGAAGTTGTACGTTGTATAAACTAGCCAAGACAATTGTGTCTGAACAAATAACTTTTTATAATATTTCTCGCAGAACCACAAGACAGACAGACAGACAGACAGACAGACAGACAGACAGACAGACAGACAGACAGACAGACAGACAGACAGACAGACAGACAGACAGACAGACAGACAGATAGACAGACAAACAGACAGACAGACAGACAGACAGACAGACAGACAGACAGACAGACAGACAGACAGGCAGGCAGGCAGGCAGGCAGGCAGGCGGCAGGCAGGCAGGCAGGCAGGCAGGCAGGCAGGCAGATGGATAGATGGACAATCTTTTCTTCTTTTCTTCAACGTGATGCTTGTTTGTGATTAGCTAGTGTTACATACCTCTGCGTTTAGTCTGTAGACTACATGCTTAACAATTATCTATGCAAGTTGACCATATTTTTAAATAAAGTAGAATAAATAAATCAGATTGTTCTGGTTTTGATTATATCATATCCAAGATACTTATTGTGCACGAAATTATATTTGCTGCATTAACGAAAAGCCGCTGTTATTTACTAAACAATGACTCAAAGGCTTGAGTTCAAAAGATCGAGATTGCTGCAAGGTTCATGGGGCGTGAGTATGAGCATGTGTGACGGAGAAATGGCATAACTGCGAACGAAGGGCGCTTACAGTATTTCGTAGAGGAATACGTTGTCTTTCAGCCGCTAGCATCGTTCATGGCTGATCATCCACGGTGGGTAGAGCCAGGTTGAAATGATCAGTCGGCCGATAAATAAATAAATAAATAAATAAATAAATAAATAAATAAATTAATAAATAATGAAAGTTTTAGTCGGACGATGTGAGTCAATGGAAACTAGTTAGTGTGAGTAACAATTCTAAAGACCACCCATGAGCCTTATTTGGTGGAAGTCTTTGCAAAAGTCTTCGCGGTTTCGACCGAGAAATGTACTCCGTGATTTACCTGTAATTTCTCACAGCAGTGATATTGTGAACGAGTATAAGTAGTCTAATATTCTTTGCCGGTTATTTCAAAATGCACTTTAAGGATCTTAATTTAAAATAGAGAGAAAAATACGAAACCACCACTTTTCATCCTCAACTTTAAAATGAAATAAGAACGTTTGAAGACTCACATTAGCTCTCTCTTAGAGAGTCGCGCGTCTCGCTACTCTCCGGAAAGGGCAGTGATATCCATTAGAGAATTTTACGTGTGCCGTTAAAGATAGTTATATATGTAACAAGAACAGGTGGGCGGAAAGAAAAGGTGGGGGGGGGTGGCATCGCTCACTTGGTAATTTATGGCTACGAAGAACGAATATGGGTGTTTTCTTCAGCTAACATCCAGTTCTTAGTATGCGCTGGTGCATGTTTATTTCATGTCCCAGTTTGTTTCGCGCAGCTCTTCGTAGTCATGCATTACCAACTCACTCAGCGATCAGCCCTTCATATTGCAGTTTCTCGTGTCACCACTTACTCTGTAGGTTCAAGTGCGCTTGTCCAAACAGCGTAAGTACTTAAATCATCATCGGTAATTCAGAGAGCCAAAACACACATTCGCAAGATGAGAAGACTAGTGAAAGCACCACTTGTCCTGTCTTCTCGTCTTGCGAATGTCTGTTCCTGCGCTAAAAATTTCCGTCAGCTATTCACCATCTGATCGAAGGTCACGTTTTGCTTAAACCAGGTGACAGATACCCTATGTGTTCTTTTAAGCCTCATGAATATTTTCGTGCCAGTTTTACCGTGTATGAAGCGTCACCATCCTGCATTGTAGTTTGCAGACTACACCGATCCGATCTCTTTGTGGTTCAGGACCGCTGACGCCCTTTGAGGTGATTTACGATCATTAGTGTTCACAACTTGTTTTTCCTAGCTGTACCCACTACTGACTAAGAATGGGCAAGTTGTATTGTGCTTTGCATGAATTTAACTCCATTAGCCATAAAAGCGTCGTAAATTAACATTTTTTTTGCTGTTTACGATTGCTTGTGATCCCCTTGTTGAAGGTAATACCAACTTCCAAAAGTAGCTCAGCGCGTTTGTCAAAACCATCGCTTTCATTTCGTCGAAATAAGCACAACAGAAAACAGAATGTGATATTCCCCACCGGCGGTTCATTATCAATTTACGCTTGAATCGAGCATAAATAAATTCAAAATAAAGATAGCTTTGAGTGAATTAGGACTAATCGGTGTAAAACGTAGAAATCAACGTACTATTCCAATAAGATATTGACATGCCTTAAAATAGTGTTGTGTAAATTGGACCCGTTTGCTGATAGTTCTTCATACGTCACACCTGAAAAAAATAAAGGATAATGCATTGAGAGTCTTGCATGTACCGCGTGGTAACCTAGTGGGTATGTACCACACGCCTGCGCGAGAACCATTCGCTAGCTGAAAAGAAGGACGAAAGCATGGCTGCCGCTATTGTGCCCGTCGCACCCGTAGACCAGGGAGAAGGCTTCTGCCGCTTCTGTGCCGGGGACAGTAGCAGCGAACCGCTGGTGACGCCCTGCAACTGCGAAGGTAAGAGCATACATTATACCATTCGCCATGACATGCTGGTGTTGAGGTCGGCAAGGACAGTTCACTTCTCGCAGGGCTGACGGCGCAGTGAATGTGCATTTGAGGCAGCTGGATGGAAGCATGCAAGTGAAGAGTCGTTCCCTCTGAGATTGGATGCATTAAGCCTTTCTGTAATGGGTGTTTTGAAAAACGTTCCGAAAACTTTGAAACTAAGAAAACTGCGACGTTTTCTCTCGACAATAGGCAATACTTCTCCTGTGGAGGCAGACCTTCTACGTCGACTAGGACAATCCTTATGAGAATTAACTTGTCAGTTAGACATAGACAGTCAGGCCAAACCAGAGCTTTCAAAATGTGCGCGTTGCGCTTGCCATGATAGCACGGATGACGTCTTCGTTAACAGATGAAAAAACAAAAAACAAAAAAACAAAAAAAGTACACCACTGCAATCGTTGCAGCACAAAATGTGTTTTTTCTCGCATACTACTTCAAGGCACTGGCAATCTTTTTGCGTTCCAGTGCCCGTTTTGCAGGAGAATTTTGTCGTATTTTCGTCGTCCGCAGAAATTGTCATCAGATGCTTTCCAAGAATCTAAAAACGGCAACTGGCTCTTGGCGAGAAAGACTTATTTTAAGAAGAATCTTCCGTGGAACCCTGCCCTGTGCCTTTAAAACTTTATTTAAAGAAATTTCCACAAATACTGCCTCAGTTACCCCCTCTCTTTCCTCTTAAATGCTTACAATGGTTGAAAAAAAGATATAAAAAGGTGAAAAGCAAATGTCGTGTTTAGTTTTTAGAAACTTTGCACTCGTCTCATAAAACGTGCCCTACACTAATGTGCCATCAAGTGTCCCACGTCATGTCTGAATATTATTTATTTTGTTTTATTGGCACAAGTATTCGCTATCGCTCAGTGCGGTTTCCTGGTACAAATCCGAACTGGTTGGTGCAGACGACTAGGCGTCCCGAGCGTTGAGAGAGATGGTCGACCGGAGGGGAAGTCCAAGCTGCGTAGGTGGTGGTAGGGGGCGCAACGCAGAAAGGGCATGTCATTGGAGAGGGCTCTGCACAGTTTGTTCATGTAGACAGATGGAAAAGAGCCGGGGCAGTGCCAAAATGAATCCTCCTTGAAGTAACTTCGTTTCGGTGTGCTAATTAGTCGGGAAGGTTGACCCGCAGTGTTAGCCGATGCATGTACAGTCCACTTTACTAATTCTACCGTGACTCCGTTACCCTTTTTGTTGCATATATTTGTTGCACACATTGAGGTGTCCGCCACTCACTCGACAAGTACAGTGCAGTCAGCAGCCCTCTTGTTCACTGCACTGCTTCATGATTCACACAGGCTCAAATTGACGCCATGATCACCCTATATAGTCACCTCCAGCATTACTATCAGCCTTACCGGGATCCACGTTCATACTCACGTCTACCGAGAGGTATTTTAGAGCAGTGTCACTCATACATTGTTTTAATATTTGTTCAGTATAGGTGTGCATTACGTAAGAGGGCTGTCTTGACATCCCCCCAGCAACTCTTCGACGTAGTTTCTTGGTTATTATATCTAATTGTGCTTACTTTTTCAAGAAAAATGGCGTTACTTGTTTGGAAGCACTAAGAACTCTGTTTTAACAGATGTTATGCCAAAAGCCAAACAATACCAAGAAGAGCATGGGTCACGTGAGTTATTGGTGTTAAAGAGCACTGACCCCATGGTCGAAGAGGGTAATTTTAGGCTGACAGACTCATGAGTCAGCTCACTAAGACTCACTCACTCATATTGAGCTGTGTGTAAGAGTCTGAGTGAGTTTGGGCGAGGAATCGTTTGGTGAGTTTGAGTGCCTGTGAGTATGGTGGAAGAAAATGTCATGAGTGCGAGTCAGAGCAAGTCGGAAGCTCAAAATATATTTCATGAGTGAGTCTGAGTGAAAGCCATGGGTTTTGCCTAACTATGTGCTCTAAGTCTGTAGATTAGGGTGCACTAGCGAGGATCTACACGGCTTCAAAAGAAAATAAGGAACTCACTTTTTTGCGTTGTTGAGTTGAGGCGCTACTTAAGTTCAAGGTGACGGATAAGTCATTACTTTTGTACGAAGTTTTTTGCCTTTCGCTGCTCTCTAGATTTAGAAATTATTCACTACTACGTGAATCTGAATGCCAACTGAGCACCATTGTCTACGTCTATACCTAATTGCAAAAGTTTTAATTACTCCTCCAAAACGTCAATAAATTACTATACTGCCCTGCACGCAGCACCACTCTATTCTATAGCGGTTAGAAGCTTTTCGCGTCTACTTTTCATTTGTGAAGAATCCCTGGGTTCGAACAGGCCACCATTGGAATCTGAATCCAATGAGCCTACGTTCAACGCTAGAACGCTATCTAGACAAGCTAGTCATGCAGCGTCATTCGAGGAATGAGAGAGTGGGCTCATAGAGGTTAAAATGACACGTGAGGCTTATACAGTTCAGAAGAACGGACACAAATAATATAAAGGCACCGTACGCTATTCTTATGAGTGATATTAATGCCAAAATAGACAACAAACAGGCTGGAGATTAGGCAGTGGGAGAATATGGCATCGGCTCTAAAATGTCACAGGGGAGTTCTAGTAGAGCTCGAAACATGCAATAATTTACAGATATTGATTGATTGATTGATTGATTTGTGGTGTTTAACGTCCCAAAATCACCATATGGTTACGAGAGACGCCGTAGTGGAGGGCTCTGGAAATTTCGACCACGTAGAGTTCTTTAGAGTGCACCCAAATCTGAGCACACGGGTCTACAACATTTCTGCCTCCATCGGAAATGCAGCCGCCACAGCCGGAATTTGTTCCCGCGACTTGCGGGTCAGCAGCAGAGTACCTTAGCCACTAGACCACCGTGGCGGGGCTTACAGATCTTGAATAACTTCTTCAGAAAACGGGTAAACCATAGGTGGACGTAACGAATTCCTAATGCCGAAACTAAAAATGAAATTGAATTCATTCTGTGTGCACACCCAGGCTTTTTACAGGATGTAGAAGAAGTTGGCAAGACCTGATGCAGTGACCTTAGAATGGTAAAAGCTGGAATGCGCAAGAAGCCAACTAATGAGCTACCGATAAGACGGAAAGTAGAGGTATTCGGTTTTCCTTCAGAAAAGATTCTACTCTCTATACGAGGTAACCGACGTAAGCGTTCACATAATAAGTGATAATCTTACTAGTGTAGTGAAGAAGAAAGACGTTGATACCATCAGGTGAGCTATCATCAGCACAAGAAGAAGGCACGAGATCGGCGATCAAGCACCGTCATCTGGGTTCGCCTGCGTTCCTTTCAGAGCTACCACCCGCTTGCTCAGTCCTTCAATAAACCCCCTTTACATTTGGTGGATCGTGCTGGGTAACTGCATCACCTACACCCTGGAACTCCGATCCCGCACGCTGCCGTCGACCATGCAAGTTGACGCTGCCCAACAGACAGCACCTCTCGCGGCTCCTACTTGCCCCGGCCCGGTTCACCAGCGAGACCCCCCGATCTTTTCGGGCGCCGAAGACCAGGACGTCGAGGACTGGCTGTCGTCCTACGAAAAAGTCAGTGGACCAAACAGGTGGGATGACGCTGCTAAGTTGAGCACCGTCAACTTTTACTTGGCTAATGTGGCGAAACTGTGGTACACAAACCACGAATCTGAGTTCGAGAACTGGGCCACTTTCAAGCAGGCAATATCCTCGGTTTTCAGTCGCCCTGCCGTGCGGAAGTTGCGCGCCGAACAACGCCTGCGCTCACGGGCACAAGAACCTGGCGAAACGTTTACCGCCTATATTGAAGATATACTCGATCTCTGCAAGCGCGTCGATGCCGCAATGAGCGAAAGTGCCAAGATCCAGCACATTATGAAAGGTGTTGATGACGACGTCTTTCAAATGCTCCTGGCGAAGTCTCCTTGCACGGTGTCTGAAGTGGTAACTCTGTGCCAGAACTACGACGAATTGCGACGGCAACGAGCTCTCACCCGTCGTCCATTTCAGCCTAACCAACCACTCGCTGCCCTGGACGTCGTACCTGACCACTCCCGCCTTCTAGCACAAATGAAAGACTTTGTGCGTGAGGAGGTCGCACGTCAGCTTTCCCTCCTGCCGTTTTGTCAGCGCCAAGAGCTCCCGCAGCAGCAGCAAGAGCAACGACCGACACCGTTAGCTCCCATGCTCCGACATGCACTTCAGGACCAGATTGCCGAGGCTATGCCAGTGCCCTTTCAGCAGCAAGTTGTCGCCGCGCCCCTTACTTATGCTGACGCAGTAAAGAGGCAGCAGCCACACCAGCCCTCGCCGTTCAACGGACTGCCGCATGTCACCGCTCCTACTCAGTCTTCCGTCGCATGGGCTCCTCCCCTCGCTACCACAGCCTCGACTCAGCCGTATGCCGCGTGGGCGGCGCCCCTTGCTGCAAATGCCTGGCGAACGCGCGATAACCGGCCGATCTGTTTTGCGTGCGGCGGACCTGGCCATATCTCCCGATACTGCCGTCGTCGCGTGCCCGCCTACACAGACGTCCGACCACGAAGCAATTACATGGACCGACCACCTTTTGGCTATGAAAGTTCGGATCGTCAGTCAAACATGTCTTCCCGTGACTATCCGGCAACTTCGTCTCGTCGCTCACCTTCACCCAATCGACGCTCCTTGTCACCCATGCGTCCACGACCAGCCCCTCAAAATGAGGGAAACTAGCCGTCGCAGTTCAAGGGGCAAGAACTGCGCTATCGAAATGTTCAAGTCCTCGCACCTTGCCGTCAAATATCGTCGAAGTTTTTGTGGACGGCGCCCATGCATACGCTCTTGTGGATACCGGTGCCGCTGTGTCTGTTATAGACGCCAAACTTTGCCGCAAGCTCCGAAAGGTGACCACGCCGCTTGATATGTTCTTACGTGCAGCAAATGGAGAACCTGTTCGACCTATAGCCGCCTGCACTGCCCGACTCAAAATTGCGGAGGACCACTACATTGTTGAGT